TGTGTCGATGTGTCTATGTGTCTGTGTGTCTTTATGTCTGTATGTCTGAGTGACTGTAAGTCTGTGTATCCGTAAATCCGTGTGTCTGGGTTTCTCTGTGTCTGCGTGTATGTGTGTCTGTGTTTCAGCCTGTCTGCGTGTCTGCATGACTATTTGTCTGTGTGTCTGGTTCTGTGTGTCTGTCTGTCTGTGTCTGTCTGTGTGTCTGTATGTCTGTATGTCTGTGTGTCGGTGTGTCTAAGTGCATGTGTGTCTTTATGTCTGTATGTCTCAGTGGCTGTAAGTCTGTGTATCTGTTTTTCCGTGTGTCTGTGTGTCTGTGTGTCAGCCTGTCTGCGTGTCTGCGTGACAGGGTGCTGTATGTCCGTGCGTCTGGGTGTTTGTGTGTCTGTGTGTCTGTGTGTCTATGTGTCTGTGTGTCAGCCTATCAGCTTGTCTGCATGACTGTGTGTCGGCGTGTCTGTGTGTATGTGGTATGTGGGTCTGTGTGTCAACGTGTCTGCTAGACTGTGTATCTGTGTGACTGTGTGTCTGAATGTCTGTGTGTCGGTGTGTTTATGTGTCTGAGTGTCTTTGTGTTTTTATGTATGTATGTCTGAGTGACTGTAATCCTGTGTATCTGTGTAGCTTGTCTGCGTGTCTGCGTCATTGTGTGTCTGTGTGTTTGTGTGTATGTCTGGATGTATCTGTGTCGATGTGTCTATGTGCCTGTGTGTCTATATGTATGTCTGTCTGAGTAGCGGTAAGTCTGTGTATCTGTAGGTCCGTACGTCTGGGTATCTGTGAGTCTGTGTGTACGTGTGTCTTTGTGTCAGCCTGTCTGCGTGTCTGCGTGACTTAGTGTCGGTGTGTCTTCGAGTCTGTGTGTCTATGTGCCAGTAAGTGTGAGTGTCTGTTTTTCCGTGTGTCTGTGTGTCTGTGTGTCAGCCTGTCTGCGTGTCTGCGTGACAGGGTGCTGTATGTCCGTGCGTCTGGGTGTTTGTGTGTCTGTGTGTCTGTGTGTCTATGTGTCTGTGTGTCAGCCTATCAGCTTGTCTGCATGACTGTGTGTCGGCGTGTCTGTGTGTATGTGGTATGTGGGTCTGTGTGTCAACGTGTCTGCTAGACTGTGTATCTGTGTGACTGTGTGTCTGAATGTCTGTGTGTCGGTGTGTTTATGTGTCTGAGTGTCTTTGTGTTTTTATGTATGTATGTCTGAGTGACTGTAATCCTGTGTATCTGTGTAGCTTGTCTGCGTGTCTGCGTCATTGTGTGTCTGTGTGTTTGTGTGTATGTCTGGATGTATCTGTGTCGATGTGTCTATGTGCCTGTGTGTCTATATGTATGTCTGTCTGAGTAGCGGTAAGTCTGTGTATCTGTAGGTCCGTACGTCTGGGTATCTGTGAGTCTGTGTGTACGTGTGTCTTTGTGTCAGCCTGTCTGCGTGTCTGCGTGACTTAGTGTCGGTGTGTCTTCGAGTCTGTGTGTCTATGTGCCAGTAAGTGTGAGTGTCTGTATTTCTGTGTGTCGATGTGTCTAAGTGTCTGCGTCTCTCTATGTCTGTGTGTATGTTTGCCTAAATGTCTGTGTGTTTGTGTGTCTGTGCCTGTGTGTGTTTATGTCTGTATATCTGAGTGACTGTAAGTCTGCGTATCCGTAAATCCTTGTGTCTAGGACTCTCTGTGTCTGTGTGTACGTGTGTCTGTGTTTCAACATGTCTGCGTGTCTGCGTGACTGCGTGTCTGTGTGTCTGGGTATGTGTGTTTGTCTGTCTGTGTCTGTCTGTGTGTCTGTATGTCTGTATGTATGTGTGTCGATGTGTCTAAGTGCATGTGTGTCTTTATGTCTGTATGTCTGAGTGGCTGTAAGTCTGTGTATCTGTATTTCCGTGTGTCTGTGTGTCTATGTGTCAGCTTGTCTGCGTGTCTCCGTGACTGGGTGAATGTATGTCCGTGCGTCTGGGTGTATGTGTGTCTGTGTGTCTGTGTGTGTCGGCGTGTCTTCGAGTCTGTGTTTCTATGTGCCTGTAAGTCTCTGTGTCAATGTTTCTGTGCGTCTGTGTATACGTGGGTCAGTTTGTCAATGTGTCTGCGTGACTGTGTATCTGTGTGACTGTGTGTCTGAATGTCTGTGAGTCGGTGTGTCTATGTGCCTGAGTGTCTTTGTGTCTTTATGTCTGTATGTCTGAGTGACTATAAGGCTGTTTATCTGTGTAGCTTGTCTGCGTGTCTGCGTGATTGTGTGTCTGTGTGTCTGGGTGTCTGTGTGTTTGTGTGTATGTCTGGATGTATCTGTGTCGATGTGTCTATGAGCCTGTGTGTCTATATGTATGTCTGTCTGAGTAGCGGTAAGTCTAAGTTTCTATATGTCCGTGCGTCTGGGTATCTGTGTGTCTGTGTGTCTATGTGTACGTGTGTCTTTGTGTCAGACTGTCTGCGTGTCTGCGTGACTGTGTGTCGGTGTGTCTTCGAGTCTGTGTGTCTTTGTGCCTGCAAGTGTGAGTGTCTGTGTTTCTGTGTGTCTGGATATAAGTGACTCTGTCTGTGTGTATGTCTGTGGGTCGATGTGTCTAAGTGTCTGCGTGCCTCTATGTTTGTGTATCTGATTGTGTAAATGTATGTGTATTTGTGTGTCTGTGTGTCTGGGTGCCTGTATGTCAGCCTGTTTGTGTGCCCGTATTTCTATGTATCTGTATGTCTGTATGTCTGATTTCTGTGTTTCTATGTGTCAATGTGTCTGAGTGTCTGTGTGACTGGGTTTTAGGTGTCGGAGTATCTGTATGTCTATGTGTCTGTATGTCTGTATGTCTGTGGATCAGTGTGTCTATGTGTCTGTATGTCTGTGTGTCTTTGTATATGTGTTTCTGTAGGTCTGTATGTCTGCGTGTCTGTGTGTCTGCTTGTCTATGTGTCTTTGTGTCTGTATATTTATGCCTCGGTATTTCTGTAAGCGTGTCGGTGTGCCTATATGCATCTGTGTTTGTATGTCTGTTTGTTAGTTTTTCCCTGTGTCTGTAAGTTTGTATATCTGTGTGTCGGTGGTTCTGTGTGTCTGTGTGTCTGTAGGTATGTGTGTCTGCGATTATGTTTCTGTGGGTCTGTGTGTCTGTATGTCTGTGTGTCTGTGTGTCAGCCTGTCTGCGTGTCTGCGTGACTGGGTGTCTGTATGTCCGTTCGTCTGGGTGTATGTGTGTCTGTGTGTCTGTGTGTCAGTCTATCAGCGTGTCTGCGTGACTGTATGTCGGCGTGTCTTCGAGTCTGTGTTTCTGTGTGTATGTCTGTCTGTGTGTCTGTGTGACAACGTGTCTGTGTGACTGTGTATCTGTGTGACTGTGTGTCTGAATGTCTGTGTGTCGGTGTGTCTATGTGTCTTTGTGTCTTTATGTCTGTATGTCTGAGTGACTGTTAGCCTGTGTATCCGTAAATCCATGTGTCTGGGTTTCTCTCTGTCTGTGTGTACGTGTGTCTGTGTTTCAGCCTGTCTGCGTATCCGCGTGACTGTGTGCCTGCATATCTGGATGTATATGTGTCTGTCTGTCTGTGTGTGTCTATGCGTTTGTATGTCTGTAGGTCTGTGTGTCGTTGTGTCTATGTGCCTGAGTGTCTTTCTGTCTTTATGTCTGTATGTCTGAGATACTGTAAGTCTGTTTATCCGTGTAGCTTGTCTGCGTGTCTGCGTGTCTGCGTGATGGTGTGTCTGTGTGTTTGTGTGTCTGGGTGTCTCTGTGTTTGTGTATATGTATGTATGTATGTATGTGCGTCGATGTGTCTATGTGCCTCTGTGTCTATATGTTTGTCTGTCTGAGTAGCGGTAAGTCTGTGTATGTGTATGTCCGAGCGTCTGTGTGTCTGTGTGTCTGTGTGTACATGTGTCTTTGTGTCAGCCTGTCTGTGTGTCTGCGTGACTGTAAGTCGGTGTGTCTTCCAGTCTGTGTGTCTATGTCCTGTAAGTGGGAGTGTCTGTGTGTACCTGTGTCTGTGTGTCAACGTGTCTGCGTGGCTGTGTGTCTGTGTGTCTGTGTGTCTGTGACTCTGTCTGTCTGTGTGTCGGTGTGTCTATGTGTCTGCGTGTCCCTATGTCTGTGTGTCTGTTTGTCTAAATGTCTGTGTGTTTGTGTCTTTGTGTCTGTGTGGCTGGGTGACTGTGAGTCAGGCTATTTGTGTGCCCGGATTTCTATGTATCTGTCTGGCTGTATGTCTGATTGTCTGTGTTTCTACGTGTCAATGTGTCTGGTTTCTGGGTGTCGGAGTGTCTGTATGTCTATGTGTCTGTATGTCTGTATGTCTGTAGATCGATGTGTCTATGTGTCTGTATGTCTGAGTGTCTTTTTGTCTGTGTGTCTGTAGGTCTGTATGTCTGCGTGTCTGTGTGTCTGCTTGTCTATGTGTCTTTGTGTCTGTATGTTTGTGCCTCGGTATTCCACTATGTGTGTCGGTGTGTCTATATGCATCTGTGTCTGTGTGTCTGTTCGTCAGTTTTTCCCTGTGTCGGTAAGTTTGTATATATGTGTGTCGGTGGTTCCGTGTGTCTGTAGGTATGTGTGTCTGCCTTTCTGTTTCTATGGGTCTGTGTGTCTGTGTGTCTGGGTCTGGGTGTCAGCGTGTGTGCGTGCCTGCGTTTCTGTGTGTCTGTGTGTCTGTGTGTCTGTATGTCTGTGTGTCTGTTTGTCTGTGTGTCGGTGTGTCTGATTGTCGTTTTTTCTATGGGTCTGCAGGTCTGTCTGCCTGTGTGTGTGTCTCTGTGTCTGTATGTCTGTGTGTTTGCGTTTCTGTGTGTATTTGTGTCTGTGTGTCTGTATGTCTGTGTGTATGTTTGTGTGTGTGTGTGTGTCGGTGTGCCTGATTTTCATTTTTTCTATGTGTCTGTATGTCTGACTGTCAGCAAGTCTGGTCCTCTGGGTGTCTGTGTGTCTCTTTGTAAGTGTGTCTGTACGTATGTTTGTGTGTCGGTGTATCTGTGTGCCGGTGTGTCGGTTGTTAATGTGCCTGAATGCTTGTTTGTCTGTATGTCTGTTTCTCTGTTTATCCGTGTGCTGTGAGTTCGTATGTCTGTGCGTCGGTGTGTCTTTGTATCTGTGTGTCTGTAGGTCTGTGTGCCTTTGTGTCTGTGTGTCGGTGTGCCAGTTTATCCGTGTGTGTGAAATTTTGTGTATCTGTGTGTCGGTGGTTCTGTGTGTCTGTTTTTCTGGGTCTGGGAGGCTGCGTGTCTGGGTGTCGATATGTCTGTGTGTCTGTCTGCCTGTGTGTATCTATGTGTCTGTATGTCTGTATGTCTTTGTGTCCGTGCGTCTGTATATCTGTGTGTTTGCGTTTCTGTGTGTATGTGTGCCTGGGTGTCTCTATGTCTGTATGTCTGATTGTCGTTTTTTCTTTCTTTCTGTGTGTCTGGCTGTCTTTGCGTCTGGTCTTCTGGGTGTCTGCGTGTCTGTATGTACGTGTGTCTGCATGTCTGTATGTCTGTAGGCCTGTGTGTCCGTGTGTTTGTTCGTCTGTTTTTCCGTGTGTCTGTAGTTTTGTATGTCTCTGCGACTGCGTGTCTTGGTGTCTGTGAGTCTGGGTGTCTGTGTAACTGCTATGTGTCTCTCTGTGTATGTATATGTGTGTCTCTGGGCCTGTATGTCTGTGTGCCTGTGTGTCTGTGTGTCTGTATGTCTGTGTGTCTGTGTGTCTGTCTGCCCATGTGTGTCTGTGTGTCTGTTTTTCTGTGTGTCGGTGTGTTTTTGTGACTGTGTGTCTATGTTTCTGTGTGTCCGTATGTCCGTGTGTCTGTATCTTTGTGTGCTTGCGTTTCTTGTTATATGTGTGCGTGTGTGTCTATATGTCGATGTGTATGATTGTCGTTTTTCTTTCTTTCTGTGTGTCTGGCTGTCTGTCCGTCTGGTCTTCTGGGTGTCTGTGTGTCTGTGTATACGTATGTTTGTTTGTCTGTATGTCTGTAGGCCTGTGTGTCCGTGTGTTTGTTCGCTGTTTATCCGTGTGTCTGTAGTTTTGTATGTCTCTGCGTCTGCGTGTCTGGGTGTCTGTGAGTCTGGGTGTCTGTGTAACTGCTATGTGTCTCTCTGTGATATGTGTGTCTGTGGGCCTGTATGTCTGTGTGCCTGTGTGTCTGTGTGTCTGTATGTCTGTGTGCGTGTGTGTCTGTGTGTCTGTATGTCTGTGTGTCTGTGTGTCTGTCTGCCCAGGTGTGTCTGTGTGTCTGTTTGTCTGTGTGTCGGTGTGTTTTTGTGACTGTGTGTCTATGTTTCTGTGTGTCCGTATGTCCGTGTGTCTGAATATTTGTGTGCGTGCGTGTCTATATGTCGATGTGTCTGATTGTCGTTTTTCTTTCTTTCTGTGTGTCTGGCTGTCTGTCCGTCTGGTCTTCTGGGTGTCTCTGTGTCTGTATATACGTATGTCTGTATGTCTGTTTGTCTGTGTGTCTGTAAGTTTGTATGTCTGTGCGTCTGTGTGTCTGGGTGTCTGTGAGTCTGGGTGTCTGTGTATCTGATGTGTGTCTGTGTGTGTATGTATCTGTGTGTCTGTGGGCCTGTATGTATGTGTGCCTGTGTGTCCATGTGTCTGCAAGTCTTTGGGTCTAAATGATCAAAACGTTCAGTTAACTGATAAAAAAAACTGAATAATTCAGATCAAAAATAGTAATTGCATTTTCAATTTGAAACAGCAGATCAAAAATTAATTGCAGGTGATTTTTGAAAACATATAAAACATTGAATAATTTCCGCTGAAAAATTAGAATAACAAAAAAACTTTTACAGAAAACAAAATAGATTTTTTCTACCGCTCACACTTTTTAGTATTGTGACATCAGTTGGGTTCCTCCTGCTTTCAAAGTTTGATTATTTTATGTATCTTTGCACATAGAAACCAATCCTGCAATTTTTTAGCTAGCTCGCCACCGCTAGCCGCAATTCGTTTATATGCAATGAAGTTTTCTCACAATTGAATTGTTTGCTAATTAATAGCAACTTGAGTGCAATTAGGAAGAATCACGAGTTGGCTTGTGACTGGTACTGATAAAAACCACACAAACTTAAATTTATCTTAAACAACTTTTGGTTGCTTTCCGTTTGTTTTGCATTCCATCAATTGTTGCAACAACTGTTGATTTCTTAAACCAAGCAGTACTGAATGTGTAGGAGTTGAGCCATTTGCGAAGTATAATTCCTAAAAAAAACAAAATTAACCACAAAGTTTCCCCAATAATTCCCTCAAGAAGACTAAGTAGTAATTAATACAAACTGAAAAAAAATGCTTATCTTTTTCCTTTTCAGCTTAAACATTTCATAATTGGATTGAATGATTCAACCGCAAAATTGCTGTTTTTCACCATTTGATGGATACCATGGAAAGTTGAAGACTAAAACGAACTCTAGAAACAATGTTATGCAGATCCAAGCTAAAATAACAACCTATGACGACACAAAAAAATTGTTTCTTTCTTCCAGACACCAATTCTGACACAGCGTCAAATATTTCAAAAATTTGAATTCAGTTGCAGAGCCTTGTCGAACCGCGAATATAGACTGTTTATTACAAGATTTATGAACTTATTCCACATTTTTTCAGTAAATGCCGCTAGTAAAACTAACGATAGCAACGGTACCAGTCTTTCAACTATGAAAAAAAAACTTTTCACAAAGCAATTGGTCAAGTTATATAGCAGCTCAGCGTTTCTTCACTGAAAATTCAAAAAACGAACCAACCAAATTTCGAATGAGATGATCTCATTTTCTGGGAAAATTTGATGCTCAAAAGAAAAGCAGTGGATGATCTCTTGTTAGAAAAATCTCAAAAAGAATCAACCAATGTATACTCGTCAAAAAATGTGTATGTTATAAAAAAAATTTTTTGCTATTCATGATGCGTTGAATGTCGAGAAAACCATGATTCACTTGAACATTGAGATACTTCCTGTCGCTTACGGTGTTCTAGAAAAAACACAACCTGAAAACTAGTAGAACACATGCTTAAGACAATCCACTATTTTGCTTTAAAGGAGGGCGGGTAATTAGATAATTTTTTTGCCTAAAGTTCTTCCTTGTCAACCGTTTCATCTTTCAAAAAAGGAACTCTGATAGAAGTCCTTGGTAAACTGATAATTCTTATTTAATTGTCGGAAAAAGGTGGCCAACATCTATACCAGAAGGCTTTTTTCTGTGCTGTGAAATTTGCGATTCTATGCAAACAAATTAAAAACATTATAATTTTTAGGTAAACAAATACTTAATTTTGATTTAAAAAAATTTGCAAAAATTTATCAAATTTTCTTGTTTCGAACCTTGATGTGTGCAAACAGGAGCAGTATAATATATATAGCATGAGTAAAAATATTAACCCCCAGACTTACAGCGATGTCATGAAAAGTTGAATTATGCGCCAACCCATCCATCTATCAGAAAATTGATCAATCATAACAATCAATCATACAGTCATCTATCCAACCATTCATCCTGTATTTCAACCATCCATCCATATAGCCAGCCTCTATCAAATCATCCATTCGACCATCAAGGCATCAAAATCTGGTCCATCCAGCCACAATCAAGCAAGCCATTCCTTTAACTAGACAGTCATAGTCTTTGCACCAATCAGCAATCAGTCCAGCTATCCATCAATAGATTAATCACGCACCCGTCTAAGTTTTCAGCGTGTCATTCATATATCTATCCAACCCGCTACCCATTAAGACATCAAGCAATCTAACCAGCAACCCACCCAGCCATCTATCGTCCATCTGTCTATCCAGCAATCCATCCGTCTCTCCAGCCCTCCGTCGGTCCGTCAATCTACTTGTTCATCGACTCAATTATCCATTAGGTCATTTATCCATCAATCCATCCAGGCCTCAATTCTTTCATCGCTCGGTTCATCCATTTATTCAGTGCATTCGAGCAAATTTGGTTCTAGCCTATACAATTTTCAGTTTTTAAATAGGTGGTATGTATAGATAACCTTAGTTATACATAGGGATCATTAGTTTTTAGTAGGAATCGTTAGTTATACATAGAGTTTATTGATTAAAATTATATTTTAAAGGTTATAGAAAAGAATCAAAGAGTTACATAGAGAGAAGTAGTATTTTATGGGGATATTTAGATAAGCATAGGGACTGTTACTTAGACGTAAGGATCAATAGTTGTACATAGGGACCATATTTTATATTCAGAGGTCATTAGCTATCACAGAGATCATTAGTTATATATCGAATTCATCAATTATACATAGAGATCATTAGTAGTACATAGGGATTATTAGTTATACGTGGGAATCTTTAGCGATCATTAAGAAGGCGTATGGAGAAAAAGTTATACACAGGGGTAATTTTTCATGCATAAGGATTACTAGTTATACACAGAGAGCTAAAGTTTTTATAGGAACAACTAATTATAATACAAAAGCACCATTTGTAATATATAGAGATCATTAGTTGTGCACAGAGATCCTTAGTCATGCGTAGAAATAATGAGAAATCATCTACTCTCAATGAAGAAATGAAAAAAAATTAGTTTTAAACTTCAAAAAAAAAATTTAAAAAAATTGAAAGAAAAAAATTTGATAATTTTTTGTATGGAAATTTTTTCGGTTATACTTTCTTATAGGGACCAATGGGATACCTACATAATGCATAGGGACTAGCTGTTGTCGTTGAAAACAGGAGGAAAGTTGGTTGTCATATATTACATGGTGAGATGACCATTACGAATGATACCTAATGGTGATCCATAGATGACAACCCTCCATCCTAGTATACTATATCCATACTACTGATATTGCTTCATTGATTCAATTATTGCTCTCTTATTTCAAATATTACACAATGTTTCAAAATTAGCACTAGTTTTTCAAGTATGGCAAGAAAACATACAGCACACAAATTTTTTTCGTAAATGGTTTGCAGTAACTATGATTATACGGAAGTTTCAATGTCATTGTAGGCCCCTTGATATGTTGTTAGCAGTGATATTAAAGTTTTTGCCAGAATTCAGTATCGTTTTTTTCATCATGCGCAGAAAGTGTTAAAACTGGATTAAAATCCCCCCTCAGGGATTCGACCATCTGCCGACCCAAAGGCAGGGGGTCAAAATTCCCCCCTTTGTTTTTTTTGAGATATCTATTTTTTGTGGAAGACCTTAAAAATTTTCTGCAGGCGCCTTTGGCGCCAATATATACTAATTTTGAGGGGGGTGGGGGTCGCGCCAAAAAAACGGGATTCTTTGGCCAAAAATTTCCCAAAAGTGCCTAAAAACACTGATTTTGGCCTTTTTTCAAAAATTTGCATGTGGCGCAGAGAATTTGGGTCTTTATAGTGATTTGGAAGCCCTGAGAAAATCAATTTGGTCGACCTAAAAAAAGGTTGACAATATTTTCGAATTTTTTTCGAAAAAACGCCCCCCCCCCCCCCCTCTCGAGAACCGCGCCTGGGTATATAGTCAAAATAATTGCAAGCAAAACAAGCTTCCTGTTTGCTATTATGAAAAATGTGGATTTGAAAGAGGAAAAACTTTTTTGCAGAATAATTCTTCATCGCACAAACTTTAGGATACGGTACACGGAATGAGTAAAGCGAACTGGAGATTTGCTTCAGGAAATTGTTTCTAAGGTAACTCAAAATTAAGATTAAAACTCTGATCGAGGCCAAAGAATCATTAATTAGGGTTCAGCAATGAATTTGACTTAAATAACTGTGGCCGTATTCTGGACAACTAACGCTCGTTCCTTATTAACTTCGAATAATACTGATTAAAACATCGATTTTCCATTTGATCCAAGGATAAGCCTTGATGATCAGAAATTTAGATTTAGTTTAGTTTTACTTAAAGATCCAAGTGAAGCCTTGATGATCTGCTGTTATGAATGAAATTAATTTAAGTTAAAACAAGGTTAAACCTTGATAGTTGTTCGATAAAAGGTTAAATTAAAAATGTTAAGTTTTTAATTTTGATGTCAGTCAGTTTTTGAGATTTGCTGGTATATTTTAGGTGATGAAGCTGGGATGAAGGAATGATTTATATATACTAACAGTTTATGCTTTATACTAACATATTTTCGTACTTTTATATTCAATAAACATTTTTTTCAAGATGTTTTTAATTTACTGCAGATTTTTCAAGGAGAACGACTAGTGTTGTTTTTATCGGTCGTTATTGTATAATTAATAGGTTTAATAGGTGTATAATTAATAGGTTTCTTCAAAACTTTAGGTCAGTAAATGAACTTTTAAATTTACTGCTGGAAGTATTCTAAATATAAAAGTTTGATCTGGTTTTTGTCGTACAATCATGAAATCGATTGGTAGATTTCTTCCTAATCGTACGTCGTCTCTTGTCCGAGGTCTTCTTCCAATACCGGGTAGTTCTCGTACTGTTCTGAAAATTGGCTCTGATCTATTGAGTCTCTGATCTATTGATCTATTGAGACATTTCTACTAAACTTTTGTCCTATAACATTTTTAAAATATTGTATTTGTCTAATTCTAATCCAATTTTCTGGTTAATGTTTCTAATCTAAGTTTATTAAGGTCTTGTTCGAGACTTTTGGTCGCACCAGATAATTTTATTTTTTGATTTGGTAAATTCATAGAGTAATTTCAGATAAGGTACACCATCTGCTCGTCACACTATCTTATTTTCGGCCGGACAGATTTGTGCAACTTCTTAGTCAAATACAAACTTAATCTTTTTCTTATATCTCCTAGTCTCAATAGACCTAATGTACACCGGTTTATGCAAGTTAGTTTCCAGAATGAGAACAACTGTTTTCTAAGTTTAATTAAAATTGCTCTGGTGCTGAAACTACAAGTAGTTTCAGCACTTACAAATAAGTGGGTTGTTAGTTTGATGGAGTTTTATAGGTTAGTATTCAATTTTTTATAGAGATAAATTATCAGAATAATATCCAATAATTAATTCTAGATCAGATCTGGTTCCACCCATCCGGGTCGTACAGATTTTTAGTTCTTCAGTGTTCTACTGTAGTGGATGATGTATCATGGTATGTTCCTTTACAAGTTGCGAGCATGTTTTTTCCGATTAGGAAGAAGGGAAGTTATCACGATTGTTTCGGGAGATCGTATCATGATTTCTGATCGGTTGTGATGAGTTTTGATTTGTTTTATTAGAGAATAGCGGTTCGGATCTCGAATACATCTCGTTCGGATGTGGCATGTAATTTGAATTTGGATGAAGTGCCTGGCGACTTGGATCTGTATATATACATGAACATCGAGATGGCCATTGTTCTGTTTAAATGGGTTTCCTTTGTTGCGATGCCAAGTCGTACTTTAAATCTTTTGAGTTCAGTGACTGTAAGCAGCATGTCGGGTGTGTTTTGCCATTCCGTAATTGGAGTGTGATTGGTTTGCCAAGTTCCTTGCGGCTCGTCTTTGGGCTGTATGTAATCTTGTACTGCATTGTATAATTTACATATACAAATATTTTTTAATTTTGTTTCTAGTTATGATCTTGTTTTATTTTTTATCGCAAAAGCATTCTTGTTTAGTTCGGTTATTTTTAAGATTTACTCATCCTTGAGTAACTCTCGTCAAAATAGAGTGTGGGTCACAAAGCATGGATGTAACACGGTGGGTTAGGCTGGCTATAGAGCATGCTCAGGACGTCCTCTCTGGTGGATTAGGCCAGGAGTGGAGTATAAATTCATGCTCTCTTTTTTGGAGGGTCCTTTTTGTGTTCAACCTTTTGTGCCTTTTTTATAACTGATTTTTTCCTTTTTGTCTCGGTTATGTCCTTTTCTTCAAAATTCAAATCGTTTGTTTTGGGTTTGTTTTTCGACTTCTTTGTGTTTTGTTCTTTTGTGTCCAGACTTGAAAGTAGTCTTCAAAAGAACCATTTATGCAGTTCTAAGCTGGTTTTAACCCAATTTGGGTACCCTGGTTTTCCTTTTTTTGTGGTGTTTAAGAGGCTTGCTTTGGTTAGTTTGGATAATTATATAATTCTTTTCAAACCGGGTTAAAGGGAAGTTTGAAATGTGTTAAAACTGGTTAGAGTTGTTATCAGTGAAAGTTAAAACCTAAATTTTTTATTTTAAGCAATTTTTTGTGGGCGAGCTATGCGATGCGATAGGATTTTGGGCGAGTGAAGATTTAAAACTATAAAGAAGCGTCTTTGAAAATGTTAGTACGGTTTCAATTTTATAAGCTATTTTTTATTAATTTACTACTTAGAAATTAATATTTTCACGGCTATATTTGGGGGGTTGAAGTTATCAATTTATTTTCATTTGATTAATAACTATTGTATATGGGGAAAAAAATTAAATATCAATTTTTTGCTGTTTTTAGGGGTAAATTTTACTGCTTCATTTATTGTAATTGGTTAAAATAAAATAATTATTCTAGAAAAAAGTTTTCTGTTTTTTGTTTCGTTTTTCTTTTTTGTAGATGATTGATGATTGTGCCTTAGTATCTTTAATGCAATAAGTGAAGTTAAGAAAGAATGGTGAGGTATATTTGGAGTTAATGTATTGATATCTGTGCTAAATTTGTCGTGCTGGTGTATTATGAGTGTGATGATGTTGGATGAACATATAGTAAGTATAGGCGTGTGTCTGTTTAGTTCGCAACATGATGTCGTGTGAACAGTGCAAATCACGTTCTTTGAGTGTGAGGAAATGAAAGGTTAGTGAGAAGTTGTTTAATTTGTTAAAATATGAATGATAGGCTTGACTATCACGAAGTGCTGCTGAAATGACGTGGTCGTGTTTTTTA